TCAATCATTATGCTCAATTAATATTTGACAAAGGAGGCAAGAGCATACAATGTAGAAAAGACAGTCTCTTCAATAAATGGTGTGGGGAAACTTAGGTACATTAAAAAAAATGAAACTAGAACACCAACTTACACCATATACAAGAATACACTCAAAATGGATAAAATATTTAAATGTGACTCTTGAATTAATAAAAATCCTAGAAGAAAAAGTAGGCAACAACTGACACCACAGAAATACAAAGGATCATTAAAACATACTACGGACAATTATACACCAACAAATTAGACAATCTAGGCGAAATGGACAAATTTCTAGAAACACACAGTCTTTCAAAACTAAACCAAGAAGAGATAGAAAACTTTAACAGACCAATAACAACCAAGGAAATTGAAGATGCAATGAAGACTATCCCAACAAACAAAAGCTCAGGCCCAGACGACTTCATGAGGGAGTTTTACCGAACATTCAGAGAAGATCTAATACCCATTCTCTTTTAACTATTCTAAAAAATTGAAGAAGATGGAAGACTTCCGAACTCATTTTATGAGGCCCACATAATTCTAATTCCAAAACCAGATAAAGACACTACAAAGAAAGAAAACTACAGGTGAATATCCCTGATGAACACAGATGCCAAAATCCGTAACAAAATAAGAGCAAATTGGATCCAGCAATACATCAAAAAAATTACTCACCATGACAAAGTAGGATTGATCCTAGGGATGCAAGGATGGTACACTATTTGCAAATCAATAAACGTGATACACCACATAAACAAAACGTAAGATAAAAACCATATGATCATATCAATAGATGCGGAAAAAACATTAGACAAAATCCAGTACTGATTTCTGATAAAAATGCTCAGCAAGGTGGAAATAGAAGGATCATATCTTGACATAATAAAGGCTATATGAAAAACCTACAGCCAACATCATACTCAATGGGCAAAAACTAAAAGCATTTTCCTTAAGAACAGGAACAAAACTGGAATGCCCACTCTTGCCACTCTTATTTAACAAAGTACGAGAAGTCTTAGCCTCAGCAATTAGACATGAAGAAAACATAAAAGAAATCCAAATCGAAAAGGAGGAAGTGAAAATGTCATTATTTGCAGATGACATGATACTGTACATAAAAAACCCTAAAGATTCCATTAAAAATGCACTAGAATTTGGCAAAGTAACAGGATACAAAATTAACATCAAGAAATCAATGGCATTCTTTTATTATTTTTATTTTTTTTTTAATTGATTTTAGAGAGAGAGGAAGTGAAAAGGGGAGACAAAAACATCAATGAGAGAGAACACTGATTGGCTGTCTTCTGCATGCCCCCCACTGTGGATTGGGCCCACAATCTGGGCATGTGTCCTGGTCAGGAATTGAACTGGCAACCACTTGATGCATGGGTTGATGCTCAACCACTCAGCCACACCGACCGGACCAACGGCATTCTTATACATCCACAAAGAACTCATAGAAAGAGAAACTAAAAAAGTAATCCCATTTATCATTGCAGCAAAAAAAAAGAAAAAAGAAAAAATTAAGGTACCTAGGAGTAAACTTAACCAAAGAAGTAAAGGACCTATTCACAGAAAACTACAGGTCATTGAGAAAAGAAATAGAAGATGATATAAAAAAGTGGAAGCATATATCCTGTTCATGAATTGGAATAATTAACATCATTAAAATGTCCATACTACCTAAAGCAATCTATAGATTCAATGCAATCCCCATCAAAATATCAAAGACTTACTTCACAGAACTAGAACAAACACTCCAAAAGTTTATGAACTAAAAAAAGCTAAAGCAATAGCTAAAGCAATCCTGAAAATAAAGAACGAAGTAGGAGGAATCACAATACTGGATATCAGGTTATAATACAAAGCCACTGTAATCAAAACAGCCTGGTACTGGCACAAGAATAGGCATATAGACCAGTGGAACAGAACAGAGAACCCAGATATTGACCCAAAGCATTATGCTCAATATTTGACAAAGGTGGCAAGAGCATACAGAGGAGTAAAGACAGCCTCTGTAATATATGGTGCTGGGAAAATTGGACAACTACATGCAAAAAAATGAAGCTAAACCACCAACTTACACCATACACAGGAAAAAACTCAAAATGGACAAAAGACTTAAATGTGACTCGTGAATTTATAAAAATCCTAGAAGAAAATGTAGGCAACAAAATTTCAGACATCATACGCAGCAGAATTTTCACTGATACATCACCTAAGGCAACAGAAACAAAGGAAAAAATGAACACGTGGGACTACGTCAAACTCAAAAGCTTCTGCATAGCAAAAGAAACAACCATCAAAATGAAAAGGCAACCCACTGTGTGGGAGAGGATAATTGCCAATGATATATCAGATAAGGGGTTAATTTCCAAAATATATAGAGTACTCATACAAAACCAAAGGAATGCAAAGAACCCAATTAAAAAAATGGACAGAGGACCTAAAAAGACACCTTTCCAAACAGTATATACAAAAGGCCAAGAGACATATGAAAAAATGCTCAACATCACTAATCATCAGAGAGATGCAAATTAAAATGACTGAGGTATCGCCCTGGCCGGTTTGGCTCAGGGGTTGGAGCGTCGGCCCATGGTCCAGAGAGACCCGGGTTCGGTTCCCGCTAAGGGCACATACCTCGGTTACAGTTTGTCCCCGGCCCTGGTTGGTCGTGGGGGTGGCAGCCACTCGATGTGTCCCTTCACATGGATGTTTCTCTCTCTCTCTCTCTCTTCCTCTCTCTCCCTCCCGCTCTATCTGAACAAAAAATGGAAAAATATCCTCGGGTGAAGATAAAAAAAGGAAAAAAAAAAAAATGACTGAGGTATCACCTCACACCTGCCAGAATGGCTGCCATCAACAAATCATCAAACAGTAAGTTCTGGTGAGGGTGTGGAGGAAAGAGGACTCTAGTACACTGCTGGTGGGAATGCAGACTGGGGCAGCCACTATGGAAAACAATATGGTGTTTCCTCAAAAAATTAATAATTGAACTGCCATGTGATCCAGTGATCCCACTTCTAGGAATATACCCTAAGAAGCCTGAAACACCAATCAGAAAGAATATATGTACCCCTATGTTCATAGCAGCACTATTTACAATTGCTAAGATCTGGAAACAGCCCAAGTGTCCATCAACAGATGAGTGGATAAAAAAGCTATGGTACATATACACAATGAAATACTATTCAGTTGGAAGAAAAAAATATCTTGTATCCTTTGAGATGACATGGATGAATGTGGAGAGTATTATCCCAAGTGAAACAAGCCAAGCAGAGAAAGACAAATATCACATGATCTCACTTATTTGTGGAACATAATGAACAAAACAAGCTGAGGAACAAAATAGACCCAGAGACAGAGAAATAGAGTGCAGACTGACAAACCTCAGAACAGGTGGATGGGGGGTGAGGGAGGAGGAGGGAAGAGATAAACCACAGAACTTATATGCATGTATATGTAAACAAAGACATGGACAATAATGTGGGGATGGGGACAGGATTGGGAGGAGGGTGTCACTGAAGAAAAGGAGAATAAATAAACAAACATTAAAAAAAAAAAAAGAAATATGCTGTCATGTTTTGGACACTATTATTTATTCCAGAAAGACTGAAATAAAAGAAGCAGTCCTGTAATAAATTTGGGTTTAACGCACATAGCAAAATTTTTAGAACACATTAAAATAATTTGACCTCTCATGAATATTTATCAAAAAATTTATATATTAACTGTTAAAATATCTTCTGATAGAATAAATCAAATAAATGCCAAAGAAAAAACAAAACCTCTTAAAACTCAATAAATAAAAAGACAACTTAATTTTTGAAATAATAAAAAAACCCTGACCAGTTTAGCTTAGTGGTTAGAACATTGGCCTGCAGACCAATGAATGAGTCATGGGCTTGATTCTGGTCAAGGGCACATACCTTGGTTGCAGTTCATTCCTGGCCCTTGTTGGGGTCATGCGGGAGGCAGCCACTCAATGTGTCCCTTTCATGTTGATTTTTTTCCATCTCTCTATGTTCCTCTCTCTTCCTCCCACTCTATCTGAACAAAAATGGAAAAATGGCCTCGAGTGAGGATAAAATAAATAAATAAATAGGCAAAAAAATACACAGTTTAGAGAAGATGCACAGATGGCAAATACACACACAAAAAGATGCTCAACATTATCAGCTATTACGGAAACACATACCAAGACCATAATCATATATATATATACACACTACACACCCAACACAATGGCTGAGGTTTTAGAAATGGACGATACTGAATGTTTGCAACGATATAGGGGAATTGAAACTCTCATAGGCTGCTGGTGGGAATGGAAAATGCTACAACTACTTCAAAAAACAATTTGGCAGTCTCTTATTAAGGGATATAAAGGGTCACAAGGAGACTTTCAGGGACTTCATATATGTGTATAGTTTGCCTAACCTAGCTGTTGAAAATAAAAGCTCTACTACATAAAAAAAAAAAATGTGTAAGACAGTAGCTGTAATATAAATAAAAAGAAGAATGATACAAAGTGAACCTGGAGGATTATGGCCTTTAACCCTATAGCAATGAGAAATAATATCTGGGTTTTAAAATGGTGAGATCTGAATTTTTAAAAATATACAATTATTATGGTTGCAATGTAGACCAACTTTCCAGGAGGAGAAACGGCAGGAAAAACAGCTCTGAGGTTATTGCAATATTCTAGGAGGGAAGTCTTCATAATCAGAACTTGGGTGAAGGCAGAGTCAACATATTATCACACTAGCCTTCCCATCCACACTGAGTAAAGTACAGTGGAAATTATCATAGCTCTTTGGCTGAGAGCATACAATTGCTTTTATTTTATTTTAATATAAAACATATTTGCCAGATAAATAGCTCAAAATATGTCCTTCATGGTACAGAACTAGACAAGGTGTACATATATTTCTATAGTATACATAAAATCGCTCTATAGTTATACAATGGTCCTACCTTTACAATCCATGGCAAGTTGGTCAATTAGCAACATGAAATTCTTATAATTGGTGCAAGGCAACTCAAAATGTTCTGAAACTGTTCCAGATGACTGAGTTAAGTCATCAAGGTCTCCACAGAATTAATTTTCTCTTTAACCTACAAATAAATAATATTGTTTTTCAAAATGTTGATAAAATATACTAAGTATATAGAGTGATAAATATCCACTTTTTAATAAAAGCCAAAATATAGGTATTGTTCAAAGAACTGATTTTTATCAAAAAGGTACCTTTTAGTGTTTCTAAATTACTTTTTATAAGTAAATGTCCCTACAGCAAAGGAAGAGTTTTCATTTTTCACTGTATATTTTATAATGTATTCTTTACTACAGATAATATTTTTGATATTTAATTTTTAAAATACCTTGTTCTCTTTACTAGATGTTTTTTCCTCACTAGATGTTTTCTTTGCAGACCTAAAAAAAACAAAAACAAAAAGAACAAACAATTATTTTCAGGCAAATACTAAATACTTAAAATACAAAGAATAGCCGATCTATTATTTCTTATATAAAATTTTCTACATTTGTAATTAATTTTCTACAAGGGGGATTAAACAATAAATATGAAGAATAACTAACATTAAGGGACAAAGAAAATACACTAATAATATTAACACAAAGTATTAAAATTAGATCAAGATGACAAAGTAAAAGGAAAAACATAAAGTTTGTTACTTGCACTAGTTTATAGGAAGAAATATACCATGAGTTTTATTGTCATGTTCAATAAAAACTAGTTTTTACTGGCCCTAAGACCTATTTGGAAAATATTACTTAAGTCCTGATATGAAAGAAACCCTTTTATAATAGTCATGATATAAGCTTCTTGAGGTCTTAATGTGCAATTGCTATACATTATTATGAGCATTTTACATGTTTTAGGAGCATTTTAATTCTCACAAAATTCTAAGAGGTAGGCAATATGTTAGGTATTTTACAAAAAAAGAAAATGAGGCATAGAAAGTCTTAAGTAACTTGCCAGAGTCTATGCAGCTGGTCAATAACAGATACAGAATTCAAACCCAGGAAATCTGGCTTCAAATATGTATTTTAAAATATGCTTTGAAAGTAATACTTATTTTTTAGTGTGTTTAAGTGCTATGATGGCAAATAAATTTATATTATTATTCCATTTATAGCTATAATTACAAATAGTTTCTGAATATTACATATATATATATTTTTTTATCCTCACCCGAGGACATTTTTCCATTTTTTTGTTCAGGTAGAGTGGGAGGAAGAGAGGGAGAGAGGGAGGGAGGGAGAGGAAGAGAGAGAGAGAGAGAGAAAAACATAGACATGAAAGAAACACATCGAGTGGTTGCCACCCACACAACCCAACCAGGGCCAGGGACAAACTGCAACCGAGGTACGTGCCCTTAGCAGGAGCCAAACCCAGGTCTCTCTGAACTGCAGGCCAATGCTCTAACCGCTGAGCCAAACTGGCCAGGGCTGAATATTACATATATTTTTTAAAAATAAAAAGAATTTTATATCTAGGCCATATCGAAAATACTTTTAATAAACTAAAGAGGTTTCTAATAAATTCATTAACAGGTACTTATTCATCGATTCAACTATTTATTCATATATTCAACACATACTTATTGAGCACATAGTGTGTTAATGACACCACTGTTACAGAAGGCATGGTTTTTATATTTTAGAACGTTATAATATAAAAGTGATAATCTTTGATAGATGGTTACTAGTATATTTTTCTATTGTACATAAATAAAATCTTTCTTCCCCCAGAATCTAACAAGACCATTAAGTTAATATAACCTAATACTTCAGAGTACCTTACAAAATCATAGCTACTCATAATGATACTGTCAGAGGCATTATAATATCTAGAATCTTTAAGATGACTAAATGCTATTCAGTATTGTCTTATTATTTATGTTTATTTATTTATTTATTTTTAAATCTTTATTGTTGGATGTAAAATGTATTAGATGTTCCACATTTTTCCCCCATTGACCCCCTCCTCCCCACTCCCGCCCCCCTCCCACCTTTTCCCACACTATTGTCTGTGTCCATTGGTTATGCATATAAGATCTTTGGTTTATTTCGTCCCACCCCCCCAACCCCTTTCCCTTTGAGGTTTGTCAGTCTAGCAATGAATTTGTGCTTCTTAATCCCTTCACCTTTTTCACCCATTCCCCCAAGCCCCCTCCCAACTGGCAACCAACAAAATGTTCTCTGTATCTATGAGAATGTTTCTGTTCTTCCTGTTCATTTTGTTTGTAGATTCCATTGTTGATAGATATGTATTCATTGCCATTTTGTTTGTTCAAACATTTTATCTTTTTCTTCTAAAAGACCCTTCATCATTTCATATAATAACGGTTTGGTGGTGATAAACTCCTTTAACTTTTTCTTGTCTGGGAAACTTTTTATATGACCATCGACTCTAAATGACAGCTTTGCAGGATAGAGTAATCTTGGTTGTAGGTTCTTGCTTATCATCACTCTGAATATTTCTTGCCACTCCCTTCTGGCCTACAAAGTTTCTTTTGAGAAATCAGCTGACAGCCTAATGGGAACTCCCTTGTAGGTAACTAGCTGCCTTTCTCTTGCTGCTTTTAAGATTGTCTCTTTGTCTTGAACCTTTTGCATTTTGATGATGATGTGTCTTGGTGTGGGCCTCTTGGGGTTCATCATGTTTGGGACTCTCTGTGCTTCCTGGACTTGTATGTCTGTTTCCTTCACCAAGTTAGGAAAGTTTTCTGCCATTATTGTTTCAAACAGGTTTTTTATTTCTTGTTCTCTCTCTTCTCCTTCCGGCACCCCCAAGATGCGAATGTTGGGACGCTTGAAGTTGTCCCAGAGGCTCCTTACACTATCCTCATTGTTTTGGATTCTTTTTTCTTTTTGCTGTTCTGATTGGGCATCTTTTGCTTCCTTATATGCCAAATCGATGGTTTGCTCCTTGGATTTATGTACTCTATTATTGAAGCCGTGTAAATTATTCTTTATTTCAGTTAATGCCTCCTTCAATTCTAACTGTGCATCCATGATTTCTGATTGGTTTTTTTTTTTATGCTCTTGAGGCCCTCCCTAAGTTCACTGAGGTTCTCACTAAGTTCAATGAGCATCCTTATAAGCAGTATTTTGAACTCAGTATCTGTTAGGTTGCTTATCTCCATTTTGCTTAGTTCTTTTACTGGGGTTTTGTTCTGTTCTTTCATTTGGGACCTGTTTCTTTGTCTCCTCATTTTGGCTGCCTCCCGGTGTTTGTTTCTGTGTATTACTTAACGAGAGGTATGGGGCTCGCTGAGACCAGATGCTGCTCGTTTGAAAGAATTTAGGAAAAACCTGAAGCAGGATCTAAGAGAGGCCAATCCTATGGTTAAGCAAGTGGCAACAGCTTGGGTGGGTTTGAAAGTTGGGTGGGGCGGGGCGGGGCCTCAGGGAGTCAGCAGGGCGGGGCTACCAGTGTGAGCCAGGTTGCTGGAGTCCCAGATATGGTGACTGTCTGCCGCCCCAGGGAAGGGCTCACCAAAGGAACAAAGGCCTCTTACAGCACGTTTGTCCCCGAGAAAGCCCTCACTCCAGTGCCAAACAGCTTAGTTCTTCTCTGTGTGTTTCTGGCGCCCCTTGAGCTGCCTCCCCTCCAAGCTTAGAGGGAGAGAGTCCGATAAGCCCGTGCGCGGGCCCTTTAAGGAGCTGCCTGGGGCTCCAGCCGCTTCAGCCTCCCTGAGCCTCAGTTCCCGCTGGTTTATCCAGCCTGAAGTTATGGGGACTCTCTTCCTGGCACTGGAACCCTGAGCGGGGCACCTGGTGTGGGACGGGGACCCCTCAGTCCTCAGGAAGGACCTTCCCAGCCCAGGTGTCTTCCTGATTTTTATCCGCCACATGTGGGTGTGGGACCAGCCCGTCGCGCCTCCGCCCCTCCTACCAGTCTGGATGTGGCTGCTGCTTGAATTCCGTAGTTGTAGGACTTCCATTCAGCTTGATTTCAGGCGGTTTTGAATGATGGTTGTTCTGTAGTTTATTTGTAACTTTGATGTGGTTGTGGGAGGAACTGCGTTTACCTACGCCGCCATCTTGACCGTAAGTCTATTTATGTTTATTATTATATAATTTAAAAAGCTGTGTATGATCATATAACCTTTAGGTAATTATCTGCATATTCATATATGAGAATATTTCAATGGGAACCAATTCTGAATAAACAACCTCTTACCATAATCTGTATGTGATTGAAGTACTATGAGCAATTAGTTCACCATAATCTTTAGAATATAATGTAATACATTCAACAAGCTATCTAATACTTGGAAATCAAAATAAACTTAACTTCAATAAGCATATCTTCCCTACTGGATCTTTTCCAACAATATACAGACATCCTCTAAAAGCTCCCATCTTAAAACAAAAAAAGAAAGAAAACTCCCTTGAATTCCACATTCTTCTTCTGTCATCATCTATTTTTCTATTGCCTTTCTCAATAAAAATTCCCTAAGAAGTTGTTTTCATTTATTCACTACAGTCTGGCTTCCATGGCAACTAATTATTGAAACTGCATATTGTAAGAGACAATTATTATCTTAACCTTTCAACAGTGTTTGATACAGCTGTTAATTCTCTTGCCTTGGCCTGTACACTACATTATGTTGTTTTATTTCAAGAAAAAGTAATCATTGCTAATATTCCTTCAGCTAGAAATAAAAAAAATTATAGATTTCACCTTCTACCATCCTAATCTACTTCACTCAAACAGTTGTTATCATTCACTTCAGGTAGACCACCAGTTAGTGAATCAGCCTTCTCAAAAGTCAGTATAATCACAGGTCCTTCCAATGTCCATTTTTCAATTTAATTTTTCTTTACTTCCTTTATTTGCAAGCCATGACTGCTGCTTTAAAACATCCATTAAAGAAACCAAAGTTTTCTAATAATCCTACTGATAAAGGATTTAAAAATACTCTAAAATTCCAAATCTTACCTATCTTAATTTATTAATTCAAAATACAGTTATGAAGTACCAACCACATGGAAGGAAATACACATCCCTTGCTAAAAGACCTCAGCGATACAAGTATAATACAGTGTGATATTTAGGAGCTGACATATGAAAAGTTTTAAGTGAATATACGGAAGACTTTACAGAAGAGGTAAAATAAATACAGGAGGTCACCAGAAAAATAAATAGTAGAAAGAAATTCTACTTGGAGATCAGAATGTGAACATAAAAATTAGGCACATAGCATCAAGGCGTGTCCTGGGAACTTGAAAGGAAAAATATCAAATAATAAAAGCAATGTCCAGCTGGTATGGCTCAGTGGATTAAACATGGTCCCATGGACTGAGAGCTCCCAGTTTGATATGTGATCAGGACACATGCCCAGGTTGCAGCGTCGATCCCCAGCCTGTCAGGGTTGGACGGGAGGCAGTATCTCTCTCACACTGATGTTTCTCTCTCTTCTTCCCTCCCTCCCTTCCACTCTGATCTAAATAAATAAATAAATAAATAAATAAATAAATAAATAAAATAAAAGCAAGTAGTGAGAGATGAATCAGGAAAGAAATTTTGAAGAACACTGAAGGCTCCACTAAGAAGCTGGATTTTATTGCTTAAAGTAATGACACCTATACATGGGAGTAATAATTAGATTTCTGCTATAAATCATTTTTATGTGCATGAGGCACATATAACATGAAGGATGAAATCAGAGAAATATCTTGGTGGGTAAAAGTTTACTTTTAAAATACCCACATGTTGCCCTGGCCGGTGTGACCCAGTTGGTTAGGGTGTCATCCTGTACACCAAAAGGTAGGGGGTTTGGTTCCTGGTCAGAACAAATATGCAGGTTGCCGGTTCAATCCCTGGTCAGGATCTGATCAATGTTTCTCTCTCACATCAATGTTTCTCTCTCTCCCTTCCTCTCTGGAATCCATAAAATAAATAAATAAAATAAAACACCCACATGCTGCTCTGACTAGGTAGCTCAGTTGGTTGGAGCATTGTCCCATACACCAAAAGGTTGTGGGTTCTATTCCTGGTCAGGGCACATATGGGAGGCAACCGATTGATGTTTTGCTCTCTCCTCTCTCTAAATAAAATAAATAAAATGCCCACATGTTGCAGTGATATCAGCATCACGGCTGAATAAGGAGTCCCGTGTCATGCCCCCCTACCCCACCACCATGAACAACAATTTGGCATCCATCCACAAACAAAAGGGCCTTTGTGGAAGCTATGGGATATATCATCAGACATTGAGGAATCTAAAGGAAATCTCACCCACCCTTATTTTGGATAAGCATGCACACCACAGTCCCAGCTGTGAACCCTGACTGCCCAGCCAATCTCTGCAGTGCCTTGAAAAAAATCTACCAGCCCCTTGAAAACACTGTTTAGATGATCACCCACAGAGGAGAGTGCCTTTCTGAAAATCCAGGTTTCCCCCAGAGAAGTTACAGCACACCAACTGGAGGTAAAAAGACATCTGGATACAGTTGAGAGGAGGGTTATTAAAGACTGGAAGGGGTGACTGTTACTCCAAATGTAAACACAGCAATACAAATCTTTAAGGAACATGAAATAAACCAAGGAAACATGACACCATCAAAGGGAGTAAAATAAACTTTTGGGAACCAATCCCAAAGATGAGGAGATAAGCAATTTAAGCAATAAAGAATTGAAAGTAGTAGTTTTAAAGGAACTCAGTGAGCTACAATAAAACACAGAAAGATAATTCAAGAAAACGAGAAAAAAAATATGCAAACAAAATCAGAAGTTCAACAATGAGAAAGAAATAATATAAAATAACCAAACAGAATTTCTGGAATTAAAGACTACAATGAATCAAATGAATAATGCAAAAGATAGCAATGACAACAGGATTGCTATCACTGTAATTAACTCGTTATTAATAATAGGAAAGGAGGAAAGGGAAGGCCAGATGGTATAGGCATGTTATTTGGGCAGCTTCACCAGGAAGCTGAATTTCACACTCCCAGGGAACAGGGTCCTCCTACTCCCTGCAAAACACTGGGGGAAGGAATCCAACAAGAGAAGATAGACGATTGCCCAGAAAAGTTGGGGTGACTAGAGAAGGTGCCTGTCAATCACACCTGGTTGGCCAGAACAGGCATGGCCAATGCAAACTCAAGAAAATTTGTGAATACCTAATCTCCTACAAAGGAACTCTCTCTCATTGCTCTTGTGCTTGACTCCAGTGACTCTTGTGCTCTTTGCTTGTGGGGTTCCTTTGCTCCTGCTTCCTTATATTCACTCATGTGGTCCAAAGATATTTGGACCCAGCACACAATGGACTTATGGACTACAAAGAGAAACACAAGCTAAGCTAGCCTAATGCTAGATGGACCCAGCTCTTAATATGAAACAAAAATTCTGAACACTGACTATAATTTTAGCTCTACTGAAGCCCCAGCTACACTTCTTCTATAACTGAACTAAAGAAAATGGAACTTTAAAAACCAGGGGTGTAATTCTTTCTACCATATTTCATCCCCCAATGGGGACCTCTGGAAATTCTTATTTCATTGGTACCCCATCAACGTCACTACCACAAGCAACCAGGGCAGACAAGCCCCTCTCCTATCCTGTAACAGAATAAATCAAGCAGAACAAAGAATCTGTGAATTAAAAGACAGAAACTTCGCCCTGGCTGGTTTGGTTCAGCAGTTAGAGCGTCAGCCTGCAGAACAGAGAGACCCAGGTTCAGTTCCCACTAAGGGCATGTCCCTCGGTTGCAGTTTGTCCTTAGCCCTGGTTGGGTCATGTGGGTGGCAACCAGTCAATGGGTCTCTCTTGCATCAATGTTTCTCTTTTTCTCTTCTTCTGTCTTTCCCTCCCGCTCTATCTAAAGATAATGCAAAAATGTCCTCAAGTGAGGATAAAAAAAATAGACAAGAACTTCAAAATTATATAATAAAATAAAAAAAAAAAGAATAAGCCCTAGCCAGTTTGGCTTGGTTGTCAGAGTGTCAGCCCACAGACTAAAAAGTCACAGGTTCGATTCCTGAACAAGGACTGGTGCCTGGGTTGCAGGTTCATCGCTGACCCTGGTCAGGATCTTGTCAGAAGCAACCAATAGATATGTCTCTCGCACAATGATGGCTCTCTCTCTCTCTCTTTCCCTCCTTGTATCCCTTTCATTTTATCTAAAAGTCAGTGAAAATTATCCTCAGGCGAGTAGTTAACAAAAAACAAACACACAAAAAAAGAAGTGAGAAAAGCCTATTTGAATTCTGGGATATGTGCATAAAAAAGGTCACATACTAAACCTGACAAGCTCAGAAGAGGCCTGCATGGCAGCCTTACAAACTTAGAGACCTTAAGTAACCACAGAGGATGATCTGAAAGGAAAACTTTTTAAACTAAAAGCAGTTTATAGCAGGCAGTCATGTCCTAGGGTAAAATCTTCCCTGACAAAAGTCAATCTTTACCTTAATTGAACTGTTTATTGTCTTTTTGCATCTACAATAATATACTTTGGAATGTCAAAGTGAATTTCATTTTCCTGACCCCCTCCCAGGCACCTGGGAGACCACAAATTTCCTCAGAATTATTATCATATTAATTGCTGAGTGTTAGTATCTTATACCCTCCTATGTAAAAGAAGTATGTGTCTGTCATTTTACTTTTTATCCAAAGAGGTTTCCCCTCCTTGCTTTCTCCTGCCTCCTTAATTAATCACCAATGAATTTCATGTAATCCACTATGTCTTCTCTTTTGATTGTAATGTATAAAATAGGGTGCAAAACTGCCATTTTTGTGGAGTATTTTTTCAATCTGTTGAGATTTTGCTTCCCAGCAACTGTCATCAGTTTGGCTCAAATTAATTCACAAAAATTCCCTAAAGGTTTGAATGTTTCTTATATCCATATGTACCATCAAAAGAAATAATTTGTGAATTACTGCAGTTACAGAAGGTGAGAAGAAAAAAGGGATAGAAAGCATCTATAAAAAAACAATGGCTGAGAACATCCCAAACCTGGGGAAAGATTTGGACATACAGATACTTGAAGCTCATAAGTCACCAAATAAACTCAAACAGATCTTCTCCAAGACACATTATAATAAAGCTGTTAGAAATCAAAGACAAAGAGAAAATCTTAAAAACAGAAAGAAAAAAAAAATGGCTTCCAACTTATAAAAAAGACCTCATACATCTATCAGTGAATTTCTCAGCCGAGACCTTTCAGGCCCAGAGAGAGCAGAATGACATATTCAAAGTGCTCAAACAAAAAATAAACCTGAGAACAAAGATCACTCAATCTAGCAAAGCTATCTTTTAGAAAATAAGAAGAAAACAAACAAACAAAAAACCCATCCACACACAACAAAATCCTTCACACAGATATAAAGTTATACTACAAGGCCACTGTAACCAAAACACCCTGGTACGTGAACAAGAATAGGCATATAAATCAATGGAACAGAACAGAGAATCCAACACATTATGCTCAATTAATTATTTAACAAAGGTGGCAAGAGCATACAATGGAGTGAAGACAGCCTTTTAAATTTATGTTGTTGGGAAAATTGGACAGCCACATGTAAAAAAAATAAAACTAGACACCAACTTACACCATACACGAGAATAAACTTAAAATAGAGAAAAAGACTTAAATATAACTCGTGAAACCATAAAAATCCTAGAAGAAAACATGGGCAGCAAAATCTCAGACATTACACATAGCAAAATGTTCACTGACACATTACCTAGGGTAATAGAAACAAAGGAAAAATTAATAAATGGGGCTACATCAAACTAAAAGCTTCTGCACAGGAAAAGAAACCAGCATCAAAATGAAAAGGGAACCCACTCTTTGAGAGAACATATTTGCCAATAATACATTGGATAAGAGGTTAATATTCAAAATATA